GACAAACGAGCGACTGGAAACGTTTCTCTTCGATCAGTTTCTCCCGGACCCCAACCTGCAAGGCTATTCGGCCAGGTGGAAACAGCGCCGGCTGCTCCCTCCTGGTCTCTCTGCGGCCAACGTGGCGATCGCGCCCTCCTGGAAACACTCCGCTTCCACGACACTCGCCTCGTCCTCCTGCCTCCTGGCTCCCTGCCCAACCTGACGTGTGGCTCTGTCCCAGGGCTGTCCTTGTCCCCGTGTCTTCTCCTTCTTCCAGAGGTCGCAAAATGGCGGCCCGGTGGCCTCGTCAGACCCACAAGCGGATTTTGTTTGGTCCTCACAGTGTTTTTGGTTGCAATTTGAGTGCCGTTAGGTGGGGCAAGCACTCGACAAGTTCGCCACGGTCCCCGTCACTCCCTATTGTCTTCCACCCGTCCGCTTCACGCATTTCCATCACCTGCCTGGTCCCTGAAGCCATCTGAGTTTTCAAAAGCCCCTGCTACACACGCTGCCTGGGAAACGTCACCCGCTTGCCCTTCAACTACCACCGGCGTCTCCCACTCCACCTTTCGTCTGCAGGACAGTCACCCAGGGAGCTCGTTCAAAGGTGGCCGATTCCCAGCCTCCCTCCCTCCCCCAGATTTCACTCAGCAGAGCCAGGGCAGGACGGTCAACTCAAATGCCTACGGGGGCCAGGCGGGCCACATAAATGAGTGAACTAGCCAGGCATGACAAAAGTCGACGGCCAGAAATATCATCAAATTGTATCTTTACTGAACGATGGCGAATGCACGGAACACAATACAAACATGTGTGATACTGGCGTTCATATTTCAAATTCAAAATTGAAAAAATACAGATTGAAAAATAGAAATATTTAATTATTAAAATTTTCTCTTTCGTTACTTCTGTTGCTCCTTTGATTTGAAGCCAAAGGCTGACATCATCCCTTCCGCACCGAGAGGTCAACGTCAGGCCTTTGGATGTCACGGTGGGACGGGACGGGCAGTTTAGAATTCAACCCTGAATCCTGAACTGGGAACGGTATTTCGTTTGATTCAGTTTTGTAACGGAAAACAGCCGTTCGCAGGCGTGGGTACTTCCAGACACAGAGACTCAAAACAACTACTGGGGAGAGTTGTACGGCTGTGATCTTCACCAGAATCACATCTAGGAAACCAGCACCCTATTGCACTGTGGTTCAGTAACTGCTCGGGTCTGCATTCACACGATCGACAGCAACCCGCAAAGGCCAACCACGCAGTGTTAGTTCCTTTTCACAAAGTCTGGATGCAGAGAGCCTTTAGGGGAATTTGGTCTTGAAGCCCACAGTCTGGGTGAATGCGGTCCAGGCCGTGTCTTTCGCTTCTGGAAACCCAACCGTGGCAAAGGAAAAATACTCCTTGCCGACGGCTTCCCCATCTTTGCCGGGACGGGGCAAACACGATCATACATTCAAGTAGCTGTTTGTGAACATCTTTGCAGAGAAACAGTGTTCAGAGGGGTTGTGACCTCCACCGGAAGTCTTTGACCGACCTTCTCAGGGGGTGTGGCCTTCGCTTCATTGGAAAGGAACCGAGGGGACAGATTTCAACTGTTCAGGTTCCTTCCACACCATCACGTGACGACCAGGTCACAGTGCTTCTGGAAAATACATCAATCAAGTTCACATTCAACCTGCCCACGGTTAAAGGTCAGGTGTCGTGTCGAGGACGTCCACGGTGTGTTCCGGGTACTTTGTGAACGCGACTCGATTCCTGGCAATTGAGGCAACGAGCCAGCTTGCGTCCTGGCCAGATGTTGCCCCTGTGACTGAGGAGTCCTGACAATGCCCACCCCCTCCCCGGGACACAGGTCATTAGGTTACCGCACCTGTCTGCCGCCGCGCTTAGGAATTCTCGCCAGTCTATGTGAGGCTTGTCATTTCTCTCGGTACATAAAAAATAGCTCAGCTCCCAGTGCCGGGCCTGCCTCGGCACCGTGTCACAGGCTTCTTCGGTCCGTCAAAATCCTCAACACCACAAATAAATAAAGCTAACCGGCTGGCAGTAATAGTTCGTGAGCGACGACAGAAAAGGCCACAAATGATCGGACTCTTTCAAGCGACCGGACTTGGAAATCCTCTGGTTTATCTTCGACTCACGGTGCGACACAAATGTCCGTTTGGCTAAAGCGACAGTCTCGACTGGCGTGTGTTTCTGTCCGGGATGCGTCATCCCGCTCCTTTATAAACTCGCCGTCTGTGGAGTTTATAATGCCCGGGGAAGTTCTTTTCTCGCTACTCTGGAACTGCGTCTCGCGGCCACGCCACGTCTATGACCTGCTTTCTTTCTGAAGCAAACCCTACTGACGTTTGAGGCCCTTTTTCAGTTCATTGAGTATCGCGTCTCGCGTCTGTTCCGTGTACTGGTCGAAGCTCTTACTGTGCTTGGATTCATAATGACGTCTCAGGTTGTATTCTTTCAACACAGATACGATTTTTTTGCATATTAAGCACATAGGCATACTCTTCACTTCCACAAAGAAATAGGCTCGCTCCCATTTTTCTCGAAACACGTGGCCCTCTCGGTCTCTCTTTCGTTTTGCCACTTTTGATAGAGACATGGGTACAAGAAAGGTTTCACTCTCCTCTGATCACTACCCCGGGAACAACCACAGCGCAAGCCCAAAGGCAACGAATGACCCTCTGCCTCGCGGTGGGAGCCAAACAGGAGTGGTGGGGACTGTGGCGAACCAGAGAGCACACGCCCCATTGATGGGGGCAGCTCCAGCCCGTTGTTGCTAGGCAGGAGGGCGGGCCCGAGGTGCCAGAACTTCTGACTTGTCGAGAGGAGCCAAGGCTGTAGATTGTGTGTGTGAGTGTGTGAGTGTGTGTGTTTGAATGTGTGTGTGTGTGTGTGTGTGTGTGTGTGTGTGAGAATTATCCTGATTTTTACAACTAACTCGTTAGGAAAAAAATGCTACGTATGCTAACACAGGGAAGGCCAAACAAAACTCATCTGCAGAGTGGCCCATGGGCCACCAGATCGCAACCTCTCTCCTAGGACAGGGCCCAGGAATCTGATGTTCACCAGCGTCCCAAACCACACGGATGCTGGTGGTCCAGGCACGGACCACGTTCTGAGCAATGCTAGTCTAGAGTCTGACAACAGGCCGTGAACTCTCTGCCTCTATGCCGGGCCACCCTCGTACTCCAGATCGTGTCTGTACCCAGCTGCCCCTGGGTGCCTGAGGACGCTCTTTAGGGCTCTTGCCTCGCCACATTCCAAACCTGTACCCTGCCACGCTTTCCCTCTCCGGGACAGGCACCGTCCACCCTGTCTAAAGCCCTGGGAGGTCAGGCTCTAACTGGGACCCGGGGCTGGCCCTCTCCTCATATGTGACCCTGTCCGCTCCTGTGGCTTCAACAATCAAACATACACCGTCCCCTAAAAACACATCCTGAACTCCCAACACGTCACCTGTGCCTTGGACGTTCCCTGGACCCGTCAGCGCTCACTACTGGTTCCTCCCGCTTCCCTCACTCAGGGAGGTTCCCCCATCTAACGGCACCCCCGGGCCAGAAGCCCACTCCACCACCCCTTCACCCCTACTTCCTTCACATGGCGTGCCAGTCCCCAGACTCACCCTGCTGGCCCTCTGACTCGGTCCCAGCCCCTCCACTGGCCTCTCTCCCCCTGAGGCCACTACCCTAGCCTCCTCCCTGCGTTCCTGGCCTGGTATTGATTGCCCTGTCACACTCCACAACCCAGAGGCCCTTTCTCACAGTGGGCTGACCCCGGCCTGCTCCCTGCATGTGGCCTCCTGTGGCTGAGTCCCCAGGACAAACCTCGAGTCACCCCATGTGGAGCCTGGGCCTCCTCCCAACCCGGCACCTGCCCACCTCTCTAGGCCCTTCCTTCCTCAGGCCGGACTCGTGTCTCTGAACATCCCAAGCTTTCTCCTGCTTTCCCACTGTCCCCGCACCTCGATCACCATTGGCCTCCTTCCTCCCCAGCCTCGTTGACTCCTGCTTCTCTCCCAAGACTGCTGAGCCCGGCCAGCTCAGAGGCCTCTTCCGG